TCAAATAAATAAATAAAATCTTTAAAAAAATAAAAATAAAAACAAAAGACCTGAAGAACCCATTCCCAAATGTTATCAGCCGTCATTGACAGATGGAAGAGGTGGTGGGTGATTTTTCTTTATTTTCTTCTTACTTTACTATAATTTCTAAGTTCTCCACATGGAAGAAGTATGAACTCTGCGATGAGAAATGTGTATTAGGGGGCGCCTGGGTGGCTCAGTCTGTTAAGCTGCTGCCTTCGGCTCAGGTCATGATCCCGGGTTCCTGGGATCGAGCTCCGCATCGGGCTCCCTGCTCAGTGGGGAGCCTGTTTCTCCCTCTGTCCCTCCCCCTGCTTGTGCTCTCTCTCTGTCACTCTCTCTCAAATAAATACATAAAATCTTTAAAAAGGAAGGAAGGAAGAAAGGAAAGAGAGAGAGAGAGGAGAGAGAGAAAGAAAGAAAGGAAAGAGACAGAGAAAGAAGAAAAGAAGGAAGAAAGAGTGTTTAATATTCAGTTTACACCGGCAAGGTTAAGGTTGCTCCTGCTGTAAGTTAAAGCCCCGTGTAGACTGTCGGCACCTGTCCTGGAGCTGGCAGTGACCTCTGGCAGTGACCTTGGCAGTGACCTCCCTGAACTGGGGTGAGCACCCTCAGCTGAGGGTGCTCTGGGCGAGCACACAGCAGAGGCCTCAAGGAGGGTTTCAGCCTGAGAGAGAAAAGGCAGAACTGAAGTTTTCTTTCAAGGGCTTTCCAGGAAATGAGGGTTGATAAGTTTGCAAAATCTCTGTGGTACAAAGATTTCAGGTGCCCAAAAGCTCAGGAAGTCACAGCAGAGTCGGAGGAAGTAGCCACAGCTAGAGGCAGGGGATGGTACTTCTGCGGTCCCTCCAGTCCAAGTTAGAAAATGGCCCCCAGACCCCCGTAAGCGTCTTGTCTCCTTCTTCCTCTCTTCTCTCTCTGCAGCGTGCTGCACAAAACTGTGGTCTTCACGTTTGCCCCAGAGCAGGAGCAGCTGAAGGAGATCCGGAAGAGGTAGGGCCCACCATCATCTGGGCCCTGTGCTGAGCCAGGCCCAGACCCTCCCTGACCTCCACGGCTGGACAGCATCACTCAACTCTCAGGGGACCTAGTCAAATTCACAAAGGAGCAGGAAGCCACCAGGCTTGGCAAGGGATGAAGCCCAGAGGGGCAGTGTCACAGGAGAGACTGCCTCCCCATTTCCCTGTGATGCAGAATGGCTGACTGGGGTGGGGGGCGGGGTAGCCGGGAGCCACGCGCCAGACACTGAGGTCCTTCAGCATAAACCCCAAGGATTTGCAGAGCACTTGGCCTGTAGCTCTGATTTTGGTTAGAACCTTCTGGCTCCCTCAGGCACACACCACACTAAAGCAGTTCATATACCTTGTCCCGGTGAGAGGCTCTGTGATTTGTCCCAGGTCACACAGCCAGGAAGCCAAGAAGCCCAGGTGGAACCAGGGTCTGGCCGTCTCCAGGCCTCATGTAGAGACTGAAGGGCGGGAGGTAAGGCTGAGGGTGGACTCGGAGACAGTGGCTGGGGAGTGTGCTCAGCCTGGCCATGGTATGTGTCCCTCCAGGGCTGCGCTTCGGGTCAGCCTGACGTGCCGGATGCCCTCTGAGCTGCCCCTGCGCCCCACGAGAATCAGGTGCAGAGATGTCCTGCCGGCCCTGTGTGGTTCCTACCTCTTCCCTTCCTCTGCTCAAAGCCTCTCCCCAGGCCTCCAGCCCCAGGGGCTCCCTGGAGGACACAACCTGCCATATCCAGGAGTTGTGGCCTGGCTTCCCTGCCTCCCACCTCCCCTGCTCAGCCCACCAGAGACGGGGCTCACGGGGCAGCCCCCTCAGTGACCTTCCCCACCCAGGGGGCCCCCACTCCTGTTAGCTCCCCTGGCCTCCAGCAGCTGATGGGTCGTGGGGACTCTGGATGGAGAGACTGGGGACACGTGGCACCTTCTTCCCTCATCCTGGGGCTGGGTTCAGCCCCTGCAGGGCTCCCGTCGATGTTCTGCTGGCCTTCTCTCTTGTTCTGTGTCCATCTGAATCTCCCTGTCTGTCTGTCTCTGTTGTTCCTTGTTTCTCTCATATTTTCTGTTTCTCTGGCTTTGCTGCCCTTTCTGTCATTGTCTATTTGTCCTCCCCTGGCACTGTGTGTGTATGTGCGCGTGCATGTGTAAGTTCATGCACGTGCGTGCATAGGCCCATATGCGTGCGTGCGCCTGCGTGTGTGTCTCTGCAACCGTCTCCTCTGTCTCTCATCTCAGTGTCTCTCCATCTTGGTCTCCCTGTGTCTCTGACTCTCTCCAGCTCTTGACTGCCTGTGCAGGAGGTCTTATGTGCGTGCTGTGTGTTGGTGCGTCCCTGTGTGCCTGGGGGCGGTGGCTGCTGTGGCCTCTGTCCTGAGGGGCTGTGTTTCCTCCTCCGCAGGCTGACACACTGCGGCTTGCAAGCCAAGCACCTCGAGCAGCTCTGCAGGGCGCTGAGAGGAAGCTGCCGCCCCGGCCACCTGGAGTGAGTAGTTGCTGGTGGAGGGCGGGTGGGTGGAGCCCAGCGGGCCGTGGGTGTTGGTGTGGGCGGTTTTGTTTTGACTTTTTTTAAGATTGCGATCAGCGGTGTTTCCCTGCTGCAATCAGAAACCCCTTAGGGGCGCCTGGATGGCTCAGTCGTTAAGGGTCTGCCTTCAGCTCAGGTCATGATCCCAGGGTCCTGGGATCGAGCCCCACATCGGGCTCCCTGCTCCACGGGAAGCCTGCTTCTCCCTCTCCCATTCCACCTGCTTGTATTCCCTCTCTCACTGTGTC